GGATAGCTCAGTGGGCGATGTGGTGTACAAGTAAGTAAAATGATAAGCAAGGTGCTGGTTCGATCCCCTCCCCATACTAGCTTACAACCAATTAATGAACGCCTTAACTCGGCTACACCGAAGAATGTTGTGACAATCGCCTTCACAGCCAATGTCTGACGACCACAAAGAAGACGAAGACCTCAAGCAGCAGTCGATGCAACTCGTGAAGTATTCGAAGATAATTGTTAAGTAGGAACGCGAGGAAATGAATCAAATACAAGAAGTGCTGGAACTGTCACGGCGATTTGTGGTGAAGGGCCGTCTAAATAAGTGAGATAAATCCATCACCACTCGATATATATTAGGACGTTCCATAAAATTTGACGTTACAGCAATCAATACCATCGTTCAATTGAGCATCTTGCGAACATTTTGGTACACAATATGATTCTACTTGCTTCAAGATGTAGCTGTCTTAAGCACAAATTCGCTTGCAACTCATACACGAAGGAGCGTAGGGAAAGTACCAGTGAGGCGGTGTGAATGATCAATGGAGCTTGGGGAATGAGACGATTGCAAAAAGGATGGTTCCCAAAGTTTGGAGCTGTAAAGAACAGACTAGAGAACAGAGAATCAGTTGCACTCGGGATGTTCATTAATCCTGCGCGCCACTTCACTAGCATTGTCCCCTACGCACCATTCGTGCATGAGTAGCAAGCGAACTTATTCCCAAGACAGCTTCATCTTAGAGCAAGTTTAGGCAAGTACATACCAAAATGCTCGCAAGGAAATATACAATTGAACATAACCAAAATCGTCCTTTTTGAACTACTTCCGGGTAATAAATCTGAAGTTTATTTCCCCAGTGTCAAAACGTATGAAACAATTGAGTAGAATTGTGATACTTAGACAATAGGCATTTTCAGTAACTGGGCAAAGATTTGCAGGGTGTCCACCCAAATAGATGCAGACAAAAAAAGAGATCCATAAAACAAAGATCCTGAAAATCTTCAGGAAGAAAATAATTCAGAGAGAAGTCAAAAAAAAAATTCCGTACCTTTCTCAGCGCTGACATAATTATGCGTCCATATCGAATCCTTACATCAAAGAAGACGTTGGTGGGATCTCGTTGGGCTTGTGATGTAAACGATCCTGATGTTCCAGCAAGTTGAGCATCACAACAATACGGCTCATCACAAAATGACAATATGCCCTTGAAGAAAACTTGAAATACACTAACATTTTTCCATTACTTTTAATTCCCTTTTAACAATAGTATGGTGTTATCGAGACCATCCAAAAGTTTGGAGTGATACGCGAAAAGATCGATCTCAGACGGGAGTTAAACTCGAATTTCACCCATACCAGGGGCGGTCAATCTGAGTAAACCGTTGAAGGTCGACCACTGACATATATGCCAGCATATATCGAAAAAAGAGTGATAGCAAAACGATGACCTCGGTGGAGTGCGTAGTGGAAGCACGAGCCTCCGGTATGGATGGAACTAGGGTTCACTCTCGTCTGAGGTCGAATTAGCGTGCCACTCTACACTCTTGGATTGTCTTTATAACACCAACTTCTTCTATTCGTTGATAAAGAAAAATAAAAGTAAGGAATCCTCAGGAAATGAAAATCCAGAAAGAAAAAGTACAAAGAAGATCACAAAACATTTTCATCACTCTCTAAATCCAACAACAGAGCAGCAAAGGGATCAGATTTCGACAATCGCCACACGAAATCTGTCAACGATAATCTATTTAAATTTGATTGGTGCCAATTTCTTGTTGGTTTAAAAAAATTTGAATACAAATTACCTTTTTCGATGGATATGCACTTCTGCAGAAAGTCCAGAGCTCTTTGTAGATCGGACATGTATTGCTAGCGAACCTGTAAGAAGAATAGAATTGAAATTCATACATGAAAACAACAACAGAAGCCGTCCAATTCGAGTGTTCTTCAAGACTTCGTTCAGGTTGTAATGCATCTTAACGGCATATTTTAAGCCTCTCATGAGACCCCATAAGGCACCTCTAGCGCTAGACTTACTTTCAGCTCATTCTAGCAAGCCTCATCAGCAATACGTGCCTTCCGGTTTAGCCAACACCCTACGTATAAGGGTATCGGTGCCGAACATGTTACACTGTACGCCAAGTGATAAGATCAATTGACGCTGCAGTGATTTACAGTCGATTGCTCATGGCTACTAATGCAAGAACACCTTATTCGACCATTTTTTTATAAGTGCATGAAATGATCTTATCAAATGGAGTGCGGTGTAACATGTTCGACTCCGACACCCTTACACGAAGAGGTTTGGCTGGACCGAAAGGCCGCACTACTGATGAAGCTAGGTACAATGAGCTGAAACGTACGTCTAGCACTAGAGGTGCCATAGCAGACCTCATGAAGGCTTAAAACATGCTGTCAGGATGTGATGACAGAAATCGTCTTTCCGCTTAGGAACAGCTGCTCTATGTAGTCTAACATATATACAGATCATATACAACTATATTCACATATGCATATGCATATGTACGTATATAAATGGATATATGTGCACATGTACATGTGTATATATGCATATGTGTACATACGTTCGTATATGTGCATACATATATGTGCATATGTATGTATGAGCATATATATACATACATATATATGTATATATATATATATTTGTACGAAGGGTACCGTCGCCAAGTGGCTGTGACTCTTATCGCAGAGCGTCGGGGAGCCGCTACCCCATCCCCTTCCCCCCCCCCTACCCTCAGAACTCTGGCAGTCATAACGATGCCCTATGGAACGCCACACCTGCCTATCTTCGAGATCAGACGAGACTCGCTCAACCACTACTCTACGACGTTCAAGAAGAAAGCAAAAAAAAATTATTAAATTCTATAAGCACTGGGATAGGCATGACGGAAAAAAAACACTGTGAGACGGATGAAATAAAAGTAAAATAAAGAATCTGCATGTAGACGAATGGTCGACAGTGCTGAGTTGCATGCAAAACTTTGAGACTCAGCAGAGAATCAAACCCGCATCTCACATAGGGTTAATTGCGGGTTCAATTCCCGGTCGAGACTCAAAGTTCAGCATTTCATTCAACATTATCGGACATGATTTATAACATCATAGCACTACTAAAACAATTAATTTTTGTCGAATATATATAAATAAATAAATAAAAGGACTAAGGATAAAGTTCTCAGCGTTGATCGATCTCTGAGGGATGCACCCTGTATTCATCTTCAATTTTGAATTGTCTGAGGTGATTGGATGGATATCTGGCCTTTGCACTGAGTCGCAGTGGCCTCCGCTGTATCGGGTCAATGCTGCATACCCTCCCAGACCAGTCTAGCAGCAATCTACCGACCCCATAAGGGTGGATGGCTTGGTGACCCACGAAGGCGAGATCGAACCATCGAACTCGTGCGCGACGCACAGAACCTCCAACCACTGCGCACATGCGCTATTCAAATGAGTTAAGAAGTAGATATTAATACTCTAAATGCTAGCCGATGTCTATTGAACCAATCAGACATAGAGGAGAAGTTACGATTTCAAATCAATCAGATTCAGTGGTTCCGAAGTTGAAAGCTAAACTAGAAACCCATACTTTAAATCAAAAACCAGAGACTGTCACAGGAAAAGCAAAAAGTATTTCAAGAGTTCTTATGTCTTTGCTGTTTTTTTTTCATTGTTATGATGCATCAAATACTATAAAGAGAGTTGAGTGATAAGCATAAATTAAGGGTGAAACGGTTTCCGCATTGAAGATGAAACACGAGTTCAACTTCCGTCTGCGATGGAATTTTTGCTTACCACTGAATTCTCCTGCGAAAAAGCAAAATTCTCTAGGATATTCGGCGCAATAGAACGGCCGTTCATAAACAGAATGATACTGGGAATTTTGGACAAATTCAGGGTCACACAGGCTCTCTAAATGACATGATAAACTTCCTCGACTTCCAAAAAAGTACTCTAATACTTCATTGATAGGAACGGCCGTGCTGCAAAAAAGGCTTAGTAGTAATTCTAATAGCTTTTAGTAATTCCATTAATCTAAAAATCTTCAATAACTTTTATTTACTCTTATTCTCTAGAATTAAAGAGAAAAAATTGAGCAAAATTTCTTTACCCGTGCGAATTTGTCCGTTCTATTTACAAAGATCAAACCGCCGCTACTTAGAAAATTTCAGGGTAAAAAGAAAAAAGAAAAGAAACTCAGAAAATCCCTGGCAATTGAGGATTGATCCGTGTAGCCCACGACTCGGGCTTCACGATTAAGTGGCCACAGAGCCGTTCGACGATTCGGTCGAGAAAACTCGTCCTCGTTCGCTCTAGGAATTCGCAAAACTCGTCCGCTGAAGCTTGGAGGGCACGCGGTTTATACCTTTACACTTGTTGGCATGGATTCATGGAAGATATAGCAGGGCGGCGGTGGCCTCTGTGGTGCAGTGGCAGTGGGCATTGCCGGTATGAATGAGACGTGGGTTCAACTCTTGCCTGGAATCGGAAGTTTTTCATAGGTACTAATGAAGGTATAAGCGACTTTTATGGTCTTGGAGATACAAATGTCTTTTATGGTCTTCTCTATGTTCTATGTGTTTCTTGTGTCATGTCTTGTTCTCTACATCATTTCAGTATTAGCGATCGATTTGATCGATGGGGCCGTGGCCGAGTGGTTGTGATGTTCGTTGCGGCGCGCGTGGGAGCGATCCCCACCCCAGCACTCCCGGCAATAACGAACGCCCTATGGAACGCCACGGCTAGACTATCCGCGAGACTGAAAGGAGGCGCGCTCAGCCGGTACTCCATCTAACAGACTCACAAGAGACGTTACTGAGAGTGAAAGGGTTTACTGTCCTCCTCCGAATAAATACTAAGCCAGAAACAAAATTTGACGACGATTCTGAAGAGAAGATAATCGAATAGAATCCTCGCTATTTGACCTCTTAAAGCGATGATGTGATGTTATAGAATAATCAGTGATGCAGAGTGATGTGCAAAACTTTCGCGTCAGGCAGGACTCGAACCTGCATCTCACTTTGTCCGGGGCGCGTGCTCTAACCCATTTCACCATTGACGCCAGATTTGCCACCACTCTTTCTACATGTACCGCCTGAAGCAAAAGTTTTGCACATCACTCTACATCACTGGTTATATCTATAACATCATACCACCACTCGAAAGCAGTCAACTAAAAAGAATTCTGTCTGATTATCCAATATCCAATATCTGTCAGCCTGACTGGGATGTATGTCGATGCCGAATACATGGTCCAAACCGTTAACGGTTGGTTGCTGACAGATAGAGGTGTTTTAGTGTAGAAAGAGTGCTGGCAAAACGGGCGTCAGTAATGCGACGCGTTCCCGGACCAAGTGAAATGCAGGTTCGAGTCTCGCCTAGTGCGGAAGTTTTGCACATCATTGTGAAAATAGTTGCGAAGAGTTATCGGTAAGTAGTATTTTTTCAGTCTATGACCTTTCAAGATTTAATATGGTCAGTTTTAAATCATTGAATAGCTAAGAGAATTGAGTGGTGTGCAAAAAACACGGCCTCAGTCGGGAATCGAACCCCACGTTTTATCCTATCTGGGGACGCGTGCTCTACCACTACACCACTGAGGCACATTTGCCCGACCACTCATTCTTCAACATCTCAATGTTAGCTATCAGCCACCAACCTTTAACAGGTTTGGTCGGATATGCGATTTCGCTCAATATATCCCGTTGAGCTGACAGCCACTGATATATCTAATACTTCGTATTTATAGTATTTCTAGCTTTTTTTCGCAGTGTTATGATGTTACTAATATAACTAAGAGAATTGAGTGGCGTGCAAAAACATTCATTCAATAGCATTTGTTTTGATAGACAAGACCATCAAAGGATAAAGGTCAGAGCTCGCGGATTTGATGAAACCCTGTGGAATACAGAAAGAGTTCGACTCCATCAAGCATCGCTAGAGCTGAATGACGGTCAAGCCTTCACAAGAACTCGCAGTGGCCTACCGATTTATCAAGTTAGTGCTGCTATTGCCCCGAACGAGTCTGGTGGCAAATCGTCGACGCTGAAGAAATGGAGGGCCTGGTGAGCCATAGGCACCAGATGGAACCATCAATCACGTGTATGTCGCACCTCACCTTTAGCAGTGCGCCACACACGCTCTGTCAAAACTATACTATAGCCAAATCAACGATGATCACGTTCATTTGCTTGTCAATTTTTGACTCGTCGTACAATGCTCAGACGTGCTTTTGATTTGTTTCTCAGCTCATTCAGTGATCCAAAAATCGTTACCAGCTGTGCATAGAGCAGCTGGCCAACGTTAGCCGCAAGAACATCTGTCTGTCTCGTAGATCGTCGTAGAGACTCCAAGGGAGACGAAATCGCCTGAACACTAACTGCAGTGAAGACTTTTGACAAGATCATGTAAATCTTTCATGAAGCCAACACAGTGAACATCCATGCCATAATTCAACGAAAGTCGGCACTGAATATCTTCGTGAAAAGTTCACTTGATATACTCTACGAGCAAATCTCTCATTGCCTAGGAATATCATTACATTTAGCTTCTTGAGCGGAATGATAGTGCTTGAGATTGGTTTCTCATAGGTCAATGATCTTCTCCTTTTGAAAGTAAGCTCTCAGGTGTACTTCGGGAAGAGCCTTTATGGGTTTCAAATGGAACGATGTCGCCTAGTCCACTCATGCTCCCGTTCGCAGATAGATTCAGGTGGAAGAGTTCGGTTTGTTTTTTCTAGTGGGTGTTTTGTAGTCGGAAAAGTGGACCTTCATGGGAGAGGTGTTGTACATAGAGGTGGTTTTAGAAGAAGCAACTAATTTGAGGTGCTAAGGCTGCTATTTTGCTAAATGGGTGTTTTGGTCTTTGTCCTGAGATCGCGAACTTTTTTTCTAGGGTGCTTTTATGTACTAACAACAGCTATCATCGTTGCAGGGAGGTTTACAAACTAAGACAACAGCGATATTTGAAGGTCGTATTTTGCTGAACATGTGGATAGAAGTATTTAACTTGTTTCCAAGATTTGGAGATTTTGAAATATGTCAACAAACGCTATGATACGTTGAGCTATTGGTGGGGAACAGAATACCACGACTCTAGAACTATTAATAGAAAATGGTAAGAACATCACACTTAGGATGTGTAGAAAGCATTTCCTATTATATTTTTTCGCTAGTAATCACATATAGTACAGGCTGCAATTTTTGAAATTTGTAGTATAACATATTTTGTTACAGCAGCGAAATCTTACGAGTTCAATCCTTTTCACTGGCTGACCAGATTATAGTGGATTTTCGTGCAGTGCTGTCCAAATGTCAAAAAATACTTGCGAAATTAAGGAATCAACTGAGGGAGTTAACATACATTTCCGTTCGTAATCTTAACTGAGACTGGACTGATGCCAGGAATTCTACCAGTGTTGCAGCAACACTATCGCCCGTAGTTAGGAGGAGTAGAAGTACGAGGACCTCTACTCAACGAATACTTCTAGTGACAACATGAAAACATTATCGCGCGGGTTCTAACGAATCTGAAGATCTCTCTTAAGTAAAATACCACTTCAACGAAGAGAATCTTCACTATTCTTTGCGGCTATTGACCGTTCAAGCACAAAAGTAAATACTGTATATGCAGTGCCAGTAAAGGACAGTCATTGTGATATAGCAAGAAAAAACTTCTTCGATCAACCTTCTCCACCATATAGCTAATATAAAATGCTCTGTTTCGCTAAATTTCCTACTGATCAAGTGGTGGTTGCCTCAAATTATTACTGATCAAGTGGTGGTTGCCTTAAACTATATATGGTGGAAGGCGACTAACTATTGCTCTGAATGAGCGCCTGTGATTGGCATACTCTCGCACTAATGAGTCTACGGTAAATGTAATAAAGCTCTGACACTATTCATCCTCTCGATAATGCGCTTTTCAAGTTCCATCGCAATGATTTATGCCACTCTCAGAGCAACAATCTGGCTTCTCATAGAGCGCTGACACAGCACAGGAGCCATCTCCTATGCTCACAACGATATCGCTAATCCCCTGTTGAACTTGAAGCTAAAGATTTTGGATATCCATTTAGAATTCCGCGTCGGCAAGATCTTACATGAGGAACTAATGCTGTTTGTAGGGAGAGGCTACAATTTTTTCCGAAATAGGTTGTTACAAATTATGATATGTACGTTTATCGATGATTGCACCAGTGTAAGGAAGTAATCGACTTGATACAAGATATATTTTATGGCGGAAAAAGCATGCGAAACAAAAAAAAAACAACAAGCGAAACAATGAGTCATTTATGACTTATGCTGTTACGAAGTATGTCATTGTGACTTCTTAGGTACTTCGCTAACGATATCCTATAATTATTATTGTTAAAAACACCAAGTTCTGTCGAGGATAGCGCTGTGAATAATGATATACGCTATTAGGGAGCAAAATTCTCCCACCATCCCATCGCTCTTCTGCAAGTCCACATGGGAGGTATCAATTCGGCTATTTTCAAATCCCAGGGGAAATTATTTTGAGCAGCATTCTACAACATTCATAAAGAACATAAAATCCTTAAGCAGCAGCCGGAACAGCACTTGAAATGTACGGAGACCTATGTGGAGGATTGAAGCGAGGGAAACAAATTTAATGCAAGAAGTGCTGCAATCTTCAAATGTACCTCATGTGAAAGGCATAATTTTATCAAATCGTTAATATTTTTTACTTTATTGTTTTCTCATTATTATATAGAGAAACACTAAACACAGCGAATTATCCAACCGGATCCGGACACTAGAAACATAGTTAGGAAAACTCAGCACTATTGCAGTGAGTTCGCATTTCCGTTGAGGCGACATAATAATAACTTGCTTAATCATTATCCATGGAATAACTCCAAAACTTTCGGTACTTTCCATTCATTTGACAATCGCAGTATCTAATAGTTATATCGATAAGAAATAATATCAACATGAATCCACCGCTTTCCATATTTTCATTAAATTAGTACGATAGTCAACTTTCTCGTATGCGCAGTGAAGTGAGAGGATTGATAAAGATGATGGATAGATTCGAACCAGACTAAGCTGTCCAACAAGTTTTTCTCTTCTTTTGTAAATACCATTGAAAAACATGGCATACAGGTAATACTGTATACCCTATAATTTAGTTTTCTTTGTGCTCTTAAGAAGCTTTCCGTTTTCTTACTTTCTAGATTCCTAAGTAGCTTCTTATCTTGAAAACTTCATATATTGACATTATGAGTGAAACTTGTTGTCGTTCTGTTTAGAAAAGGGCACTTCGTCATTATTCTTTCAGACTTCAGTTGATATTTTATTTACTCTAAAAATGCAACCGCTTTCGCACGCTTTTTATAAACCAATGAAATAGTGCATGCTCATGGTCTCGTAAGTAACCACTTATATCAAACTTGATTTTCAGTCAGAGTTTTTCTCGAAGTTATTCTGTGCATGTGAGCCACTCGATTTTCGTTCATGAAACAATCGAACCTGGTATTCACGTCCGTTATGGGTTCCCCTTATCCCCTTGATCTTCGCTTCGTCCTTGGAATTTTCCGTAGAGTTTGTTGCTCTCAATCAGTATCAAATCTTTCACTAGCACTGAATACCATGCATTTAGTGCGAAATACACGGTCACTCTCCAACCTTTAAATCAGGATACTTCGACTGACTTTGACCTAATTTCAGACATAAGTGGCTTTTCTCTGCATACGAGGCGTTTTGTACCTTCCTTGCACAAAGCTTTGTATTTCAAGCAGGAAAGCTATCGATCAAGCGGATTCTTCTCCGGAAAAATATGATGGTTTTCTTTAATGCATCGCTGGTATGTCAAGATTTCTTTGTGTTTGGAAATCCAAGTAGTTTCGAATACAATTTTTTTGAAATTTAAACATGTTCAAAGTTACGACAACGGATAGCAATTACGCATATTTTCGAAAAGACATCAAATGTCTTCTATAGATTTGTTAAGTTGGAAATGCCCGAAACATCATATTTACTACAAATTGTTATTTTTTGAACTCAGTTTATATTTGACGGGATCGGATTGGTAACAGAA